TTTTCCTCTTAGAGAGGTGTTGTAAATATATCAGCTAATTAAAAATCAATGCTAATAAATTAAATTTCAATACCACCATTTAAATTATGATCTCGAAAAATTGATGTTTGATGTAAATATGCTTAGCTAGAGAATGATGCACAATTTTTTTCGACAAACAAATGACACTAGAATTATCACACATAATATTGAATGGTTTAAAAGAGAAATAATGATTACTTAATTGATGAACCATCAAAAGAATTTGAGCACAACATTGACCAATTACAATACAATCAGCCTCAGTAGTCAAAAGAGATACAAAGCACTGCTTTTTGCTTATTCCGGGATATTAATGATTTCCACATAATTTCACTTATACCACTAGTACTTTTCTGTTGTCTTTATAACCTGAAAAGTCAAGTTCAGAAAATCCTTCAAGAATTTTTTTTATTTTGGATACAAAAAATTACTGGATGATGTTCAAACTAAATAACAAATAATTAACTTTACTACCACTAAAAGAGATTCTTTAGGGGCTTATTGAAACTAAGAACATTTTCACACACTAAAGATTATATCTGGTCGACTGTAAGTGAGATAGAGTAAAAATTGAAAGATACCTCTATACTTAGTTTCGTCAACCATCTTAACTTTGTCATCTTCGTCAAGAGGACACGTGGAACTCATTGGAGTACCCAATGACTTTTAGTTTTGCATGCCAAACTTTTGAATGAATTTTTTGCAATACTTGCTCTGACAGAGGAACGTACCTTTCGGAGATCGCTTTATTTGTAGTCTGATAAAAAAAATTATTTCGCCCATCATACTCATTTTAAATTCACTTTGCATAAGGATAGAAAATTCTTCACAACGAGAGATATGAGGACTTCCAATGATAATATCATCAACATAAACTTGAATAATAAGGTTCTCGTAGGAGTATCTTTTAATAAAAAGAGTTACAGGTAAAACCATGATTTATAAGGAATATTCTTAGATGATCAGAACAAGAATGAGGTGCTTGGTTGATAACATACGAAGCTTTAGAATGTTTGAAGACATGATAAAGAAAATTGGGATTTTTAAAAGCAGAGGGTTGTTTTATGATGAGTCCACCAATCGGACTCATTCAAGGCTTTATTTCAATTGAAATAGTTTCCACCAATGCTTATTTTGTCTCAATTTCTTATGAAAACTCTTAAGTTTAAGGTATTTGAAGTTTTAGTGGCAACATGGACACTTATGCGCAAAAAGGAACAAAAGGTTGAAAAGGACGTAAAACCTTATGCCTGAGACTGGCCAATCACACTTGACGAATCGCCGAAGAGAATCACTCTGTCCTTTGTTTCAATACATGAAGCCTTGAAGGAATTGGATCAAAATGTTATCAAAGGAGCAGTCTGTGTGTCACCGATTAGTTCCTCAAAGAAGAGATATACCGCCTAAAGATCCAAGACAAAAGCTTTTTGAAGGTAAACACACAAGTCGATCAACCAGAAGAAAGGTGAATCGTCCATTCATTCATACATCATGACTAATATCGCCTAATGGTTTTCCACAACATTTAACCTGAAAGCTATAAATACTAGTTGTAGGAGTTATTTTTAAAGAGTCTGAACTCAACTCCATCAAGACGGGATCAAGGTGTTGCTTAGACTTCACATCAATAACTAAGGAGGATTTAGATCTATGTTGAACCATGAAACCACCCTTTTAAGAATCTACCAGTCGAACTCCCAATCGGGCCAACCTATGCACATCACAGATTACCCCTTTCTGCTCATCTTCATGCATTCTATAAAGAAAATGTCTCCAATTTTTCATAGCAAACACTACGCCTATTAATTCAAGATCATGGGTCGGATAGTTCATTTCATGTACCTTGAGTTGCTTTGCGGCATAAGTTGTCACCTTACTATGTGACATGAGGAAACAACCCAAACCTACTCGAGAAGCGTCAGAATACACTACAAACCCTTAGGTACGCTCCAGTAAAGTCAACACCCGAGAGGAGGTAAGGTTATCTTTCATCTCTTGTAGGCCTCTTCACAAGCTTCCAACCACTCAAACATAACTTTATTTTTTGTTAGAGACGTCATTGGAGAAGGAATAGAGGAGAAACCCTCAATAAATCTCCTATGATATTGGGCTAAGCCCAAAATCTTTGAAAATTCATGAGACATAGGGATCTAGGACAAATCTTAACCGCCTCTGTTTTCTTTGGATCAACCTCTATACCCACACTTGAAACAATATGTACAAGAAAAGCAACCAATCTTTTCCAAACCTTGCAGTTGGTAAACATAGAAAAAAGTTTGTGATCCTTGAGAAGTTGCAAAACTACTCATATGATAATCCTCACTCTTGGAGTATACAAAATTATCATCGATAAAGACAATCAGAAAAGATTCAAGATAGTTCCTGAACACCCTATTCATAAGGTCTATCATGTCTGTTGTGTCATTAATTATGCCAAAATACATGACTACAAACTCATAGTTAACATATCTTGTTCGTAAATCTGTTTTATGAATGTCAACTCCTCTCACTCTAAATTGGTCATAACCTTACCTTAAATCAATCTTTGAAAAGTAACTCGACCCTTGGAGTTGGTTAAACAAATCATTAATTATATGGAGAGGATACTTATTCTTTACAAAGATCTTATTCAATTGGCGATTGTTAATACACATCCTAAGAACCCATCTTTCTTTTCCAAACATAATAAAGGGGCACCCAATGGAGATTTGTTTGGTCAAATATAACCCTTCTATAGAAAAATAATGAGTTAAGCTTTTAATTATTTAAACTCGTCTTGATCTATACGGTACAGGATTAATCGATATGGTAGAGTATTCGGTAATAAATCAACACCGAAATCTATTTTCTATTCACGAGGAATTCCGAGCAAGTTATTAAAGAAGACTTCCATAAAAGCATTCACTAGGGGGACCAATTCAAAAGGAGGAGACTAGTACCCAAGATCCTTGACCCTCACAATATGATAGAGACATCCCTAAGAAATCATATTACATGCTTTTATACACGAAAAAATTTGACCTCTAGGGATTGAAATTCCCCCCTTCCACTCTAAGATGGGTTCATTAGGAAATTGAAACTTGACTACCCTTGTTCTGCATTCAATAGAAGCAAAACAAAAATGTAACAGATCCATCCCCAATATAACATCAAAGTCCAACATAACAAGTTCTATCCAATCAACCAATGTGACTCTACTGGATAATGAGATGGACAAATAGTATATACTCTATTAGAAACAATGGAGTCACCCACCGTATAAAAACAAAAAAGGGTTCTTATAATACATCGTGGAGAATATCAAATTTCATAGCCACTAAAGGAGTTACATAAGAAAAGGTTGCATCAAGATCTAGGAATGCATAAATATCAATTGAAAATACTTGCAACATACATGTAATAACATTGGGAGATCTCTCTTGATTACCTTGGGATTGGAGAGCATAAATAGGTTCTTTTTAGGAGCATCTGAGTTAGGACCACTTTCTTGTGATTAATTATTCTCTCCCTTAAATATTTTTAATTGGAAAATCTTTCACCATGTGTCCACTCTTTCCACATCAAAATCAATTATCCTTTTAAACTAGTCACTTGATCTCATGCCTTTTGCCACATTCGACACAATTTGATTTATCACGTTGAGAACTACAAATTTTTCCTACTTTTGGTTTTGGGTTAAGTACCCTATCTTTGTTGTCCCTTGATACATTGGAAGGAACTTGGTTGGGAAACCTCTTCTTAAATCTTGCCTTATCATGGAACTCAAGCTTACCTTGGAAGCACCTCCGTCATAGTGTCTTGCCCTCTTGGCATCCCTATTTCTCTTCTTATGCTTAGTTTCTTCAACTTAATGAGCATGCACCATAAAAAATAAATGCCTATATTATTATGAAGCATTGCCTCAGGACACCCTTCCACAAGATCATTTGACACACCCGTCAAAAATCTACTCATTTTATCTCTAGTATTAGACACCAAATACAAAGCATACTTCAAAAACTTAATGAACTTCAAAGAGTATTCTTGGACTCTTATTCCTTCTTGACGAAGGTGGACAAATTCTTCAACTTTAGCCTCTCTTTTTTCCTTTGGGAAGATTCTATAAAAAACTTCCTTCCTAAAATTTCCAAACTCATGGGACCCGCCCTCAAAGCCCTATTTTTCATCCATTGAGTGTACCATATTTGAGCCAAATCCTTCAGTTGATATGTAGATTGCTCCACCTTCTCATTCGAAGTTACCCCCATAGTAAACAAGATATAATATGCCTCATCAATAAAGTATTGAGGATCCTCATTCACCTTAGACCCAACATTGGAGGATTCATTCTAGAGAAGTCCTTCAAATGTGAAGCCATGGTACTATAATTTTTATTCACAGGAGTCCCAATTTCACGATCAGCCCGTGCCATCATAGCTTGAGCTTGTGTAGTTATTACTTGAGATTGAGTAGCCATGACTTGGGTAAAATTTTAAAAAGCCTCTCTTATCTCACCATCTATCAAAATAGGAGTATTGAACGAAACTAGTCCACCTAGAGGAACTTGCTCATTAGGTGGAGCTTGGTTACCTTGGGGAGGAACTCCCGCATTCACAACCTCCTCTCCAACCCTTCTTATGGCTTCCCTCCTAGTAGACATATCCTATATCCACAAGAGAAGTATTAAAAGGCATGTACATATAGTAGCAAGACTCTTAAAAAAAACTATAAGAATATCAAATGAAGTGAATGTTCCTAAGCATCATATAGCATGTCATTCTTAAGTGTGGCGCGCTTCACAGCCATAAACAAGACATAAATAGACGTGGTTCATGAGATATCAATACTAATTATCATTCAATAACCTTCTTATCTAACACCACGTTTGTCACGACCCGAGATCACCCTTATTTATAACAAGGCATAATCCACCTTGAAGAGGTCTTATCCAAGCCCTTAGCATATCATTATTTCATAAGAGATTGAAACATACGGAAATATTTAGAACTTTAACAATCAATGTCAACCTCTTTCATATATTAAATAGAGCATCTAGACTTGTCTTATTAACAATCTTGGTTCAAACATAAGAATCTCAACATAGGGACCTTAGCCCTTACAATCAAAAGTATCCATATAAGAAGTGCAATAGTAGTCTAGTACAAAAATTAAAGAAAGAAACATATTGGTATCATGTTGTCCTCAAAGCTTGAGAACAAACCAATTGGTCTTGAAGAATGTTATCCAAGCATTTTCTTCTTCTACAATAAGACCTACTAGCCCAAACCTACACTTGGTAGAAAAACAAGAGAAATATGGGTTAGTACGTTCCACTTGTACTAAGTATGAAAGTTATGCAATTAAAACCATTATAACATGCAAAAAGGACCTTTAGTTCAAACCATGCTATTTCAAGTTAAAATTCATAATGCACATTTTAATAATACACAATCAATCCATAGCATAATATAAAAAGAGATTTAAGATTACAAGCAACATTATAATAAAAACCACCTTTCATAACATACATTATTGATTTCATTTGATCATTATATCATAAGACTTTGCACACTACCCCCTTTTTAAGACTACTAGTGCAATATAGATATGAGGCCTCATACCCCAAAACATATCAAACAAACACTAAAGAGAAAGCAAGCATCACCACATACTTCCTTTATTCTTGTTTTTATCAATCAAGAAACATTGACATAATCAACATACACCATGTGAGATACATGGAATCTGGTTTCAACCCCTCACAGTGATGGGAGGATGTCCTACTTGATAATGTAGGGCATAACATTAATGATAATATATAATACACTAGCTAAAACTTATGTGGGCTTCATAATTGAGGGATATAAAGATTATTACTACAAAACCTCTGTTTACTTAATTGTATTATAGTTTCAATCTCATAAAATCATTCAAAGAACCTTCCTTTTATTCAGAATGAACCTATCTCATGCATATCCTCTCAGTGCTAAGCTTGATTCCGTTTTTAGGTAACCTTTAGCATTTATTTAAGCAATAATTTATAAAGAATATCTTAAGGATTTAATGCCTCATATATCATTAACTCAACTCTTAAAATATAAGAAGACCATTCATCATAGAACCAACATCATGTGAGAATATTTCTTTCTTAACATAGTAATTTTAGGGTGCATGAGAATTACCTTCAATTCAACATAACAACACAAATGTTATTATCTCACAAAATTCATATCCATATAATAGCATAACATTCGTGACACATCATACATGCTTGATCAAGCTTAAGGCTAAAGGGAAGAGGAAAAATAATTCTACTCCACAATACATAACCAAGTAATTATGTTCATCACAATTGAACCAACAATTCAATACAATAATACTCATCACCTTGAAATCCCTTGCTTATAGCCTTCACGAATTTACCCAACTTCCTTTTCATACATTAATAATGTATATGAATAATACAATACACATAACGAATTATAAAAGAACATTGTTCATTCTCATCATTTAATCACTGTCAACCACAACTAGGGTTTATAATTTATAAAGAATGGAGGTACCTGGGTCTTGGGTTATTTAATTTGAAAACCATAACATTAATTTTATTCATCCATTAAAAAATCAAATATATTCATAATTAATCAATTTAGATCAATGAAAAAAAGTTTAGAAAGAGATCCATGTGATTGATTGAAAACCTAGAAATTGGGGATTTTTGAAATCTAACATTGAAGAGCCTCTTGTCAAAGGATGATAACATTGAAGAGCCACCATACCTAATGGAATATTCACCATGAAACTTTGTTGAAAACCTTGGAGCTTGAACCTTGTCTAGATGCTTGATTTCTTTTCAATGGTAAAACTTGGTAGACAGAGAGTTTTGAGGGAAATGAGAGATTTTTATTTCAATTTGGGAGGTTATATTTTTATTTGGTAATAGATGTAAAAACGACTAAAATAAATATATACTTAACCCTTAAAATAACCAAAACACCTCTCACTTAGTTGGACTTTCAAAATAAAAGTCCAACTTGACCTTCACTAGTTTAATCCCATCCATCCCTCACGATCCCCTTCATGAGTCGTTAAGAACACTATGAGTTGTGTTGTGGATCGTAAGGTGAGGCAGTAGCCTCCAAAAAAGGTGCATCAACCTCACACACCAATTACTTTTTACGACCAGGCCCCCTTAATCGTCAATATGCACCAAGGCCCATTAACTAGATCATAGTGTCTTGGGTAGTAGCCCCTCCAAACATACCCACCTTCTTTAAAACCAAGCCAACTCCATGACCACCTTCACGACTCTTTGAGTGGCCCACCCTAGTGAATTTTGGGGAGGTTTCTAAGACACTCTGAGTCCTTCTTGTTTGGCAAAAGAAGCTCAATGAGACCCCCCACTTGGCCATGGTCTTGACCATGAGTCAAGGTCAAGCCCGTGGAGTTTGAGGAAGTAGCCTCCCTTTTGGGTCAACCTTGGCTTTGGGCCTTGGATTTTTCCCCTTTATATTTGCACTCCTCGTTTGGTATAAAGACTTTAAAATCTAGAATCTCATTTGACTATACTTTGAGTTGAATTTATTTACATTGGGAGTGTGAAAATACTCTGAATCCTTGCATACGTAGTGTTGTGTATGTTTAGATTGTAGTCCCAGAGGTTGCGGGTTAAACTTCAAAGGATGGGTTTTAAATAGACATATCGAGTTGTTTGGTGTGTTGACTAGAGTTTGCCGAACGGTTTGGTGTTTTACCTAATGTCCCCATACAACCTTTATATTAATGTCAAATGTGTAGTTGACTTTGTAAATTTTGGTGATAAATCTTGTGTCTCCAAAAGCTTTCGTCGACTTGTTGAAAGATTCCCTTTTTGCCCTTTTTGTCTGCATACTCATACCCGCAGTGCATTGCTATCAACAAATCGCCTACATAAATAATATCTAACTTTCTCTTCAAATGTTTGCTGAAACGGCTAGACCAAATGTAGAGGGTAGAGATATGTCATCTCGACAGGTAAGAGCATGGGAGTTTAAAAGAGATAAAAAAAAAAGATAGCAGAGCTGGCCAAGAAGAGGAAAGAGAAGAAGAAGACAAGTTCTAGCAAGAGGGTTCCTATTGACCCCACTATCCCTTCGTTGAAATGTGGTGTCTACACTGCTATAAACTCCCTTATGGCAGCGCACAACTTGGATTGATTGATTGCAGATAATATCGCTGCAGAGGCTAAGGAAACTAAACACAAGGCGAACCAGGATGATAATATCATGGGGACCACTGTCAAGTTCTTGGCGGATGCATGTGGCACTGATGAATCGATAGATGGAGCAAGTGTCTAGATATGATACCCTCTTAACCTCAGTCTTTTTTCTTTCTTTCTATACAAGATATTTCTATTAATTTTATTTAGGGTTGAACACATTTGTTTATTATGGGGTGAGGCTCCTCTTTGTTTGCTGACTATAAATGTTTGTGTTAATTTGGATTTTGTCTACTATATATAGTTGGGTTGTTGATTTAAATTGTGTTTTATACTACTCCTGCGATTGTTTGATCTTATGGCTCCATTATTTGATTTTAATTGCAAAATGGCCCTTCCAAATAAATTTATTTTAAAAAAATGTTTGCCATTGCTTGTGTTGAAAGTAGTTGTTCTCGTGAAAATTGAAGTATCGCTTCTGATCGATGCTGATCACTTGCATAGTGCTTTTAATTTTATAAACATGAATTTACAGATCGACGAGACAAAATTAAGTTGCATAGACAATGTATAAACTTTTTACATCTTCTTGTGATTAGCCAATTGGAAAATTAATTCTCTTCTAATGACCGTTGCACACTAGCGAAAGTGTAAAGTCTTGTTTAACTTAAGTATCGATGCCTTATGTGATAAGCTTACTATGAACCGTGCATGAATACACCTATAATTTCCCCCGTTAGTAAAGTCAATTAAGTAATGCTTTCTGTTGAAATTGTCTTAGTTACTTTTGAAGAGTGTAAGTCAATTTGACATATACCTCTCTTGTGACCCACCATGTGAGTCTGTGAACCTCGCTTGAACACCCTTGAACTATACCTTTCTTTGGAAGAAACATGTAGAACATAGACATTTATTCATCTACAACCTATAATACTCGTGACTTTTGGTTTAGTGAATAGCCAAGTTAAGATAAAAGCTTAAGTTGGGGTATGGTAAAAAAGAAAAGGACAGTCGCGAAGTGTAAGAAAAGTCTCCCTTAAACCATGGTATTGCAATGGAATGGAAACCCTCCATATAAAAATAGAAAAAGAGAAACTAAAATAATGAAAAAGAAGGTTGTATATTAAAAGTACCGAAGATATTTGGGTTTCTTAGCAATCCATGAATGTGAATAATAGGTTGACTTAGAAGCACAAGAAGAAAAATTAATAGAAGAAAGTAAATAAAAGGAAGTGTTGTGGGCACCACAATAAATGAGGATCTTTCGTAACTTATTCTAAATAATCATACCTTAACATTCATCCCCATTACAAGCCTTGAGAAAACCTTTCTGATTTTCAGAAAGTAGAAAGATTCTTGAATGGAAATAAGGGCAAGCATACGGGTGAAAACATGTGAGCGTTGTGTCTAATTCCTAAACCATAGATTAATTTTACACATGTATGTGAGAATGGAATCATCATGGCATTCCTATTCTTTTATTTGATCTTGAACTTTCACTTGAAACAAGTAATGCGAGCTTGAGAATCTTTCATAATGGTGTGTCATAACTTGAATCATTGAGTACACAATTAATACTTGAATAAGTAGTTTTAGTTTAGTTGCCTATGTTCATGATTGAGTTTTGTGTAGCACAATTTTATAAATCGTACTGTTGAACATAAGTTTTACTTGAGACAATCAAAAGTTTAAGTTGAGGGTGTTGATAAATCCACAAATTAGACTAATTTAGGGCTACATTTTAATATAAATAGTATTCTATAATGCTATTTTTACCTCAATATCTGATTAAAACTATCACATTTCATGTATTTGATATTTTAACGAAAGCATGGACACTATGGAGACAAAGTAACAAGAAGGGTGAAAAGAACAAAAAACTGAAGCCTGAGCATTGCCAAGTAAACTTGGCACATTACCGAAGTGAAATACTTCACACATTATTCCAGCACGATGAGCTCTGAAGGTAGAGGATAAAATCGTTGGAGAAAGGACCAGTTGGCGCACCACCAAACAGTTCTATGAAACAGTACTATACTGCCCAAGGTCGAAGACTTTAAGATGTTTTGGGCAAGAACAGAAGGGCGATGAACAAGAAGAGGTAAATGGATTTAGGAATTCGCACCCTCTCACATTGTTCAAGGTGAATTATATCCACCGGGTGAGTCCACGAGTCATTAGGCGACCTCAACAAACCTCGCAGAACGACCCATCGCACCACAAAATTTGAAAACTATAAATACTAGGCCAAGCTGTTAATTAGAGAGTCTGAACATTATTATAGTCTTTAGACATTAAACATTAGTTTTTCATATTTTCTCTGAAGTTTGAAGACGGTTTTGGAAGACTTTAATATAGAAGGATTTCACCCTCCCCAAATTGGAAGAAATTCTTCTCAATTGTTTTTGCTTAAATCAAGACTTATCTTCTTATACCCATTTGATTTCAACATCATTGAATGTATGTTCTTTTATTTCTTCATGTGTGGCTAAAATCCCATTGATGTGGTGTGATTTAGCAAATGTGAGTTAATATTATTGTTGGGTCTCGCTTGCTAATAGCTTAGATGCAATTTAATAGTGATTTAGTCTAGTCATTATCGTTCGATCTAATGGATTTGTAGTTGTAAATACAAGTTCAACAATATGTTTTTGATTTTTGAGAGAGAAAAGTCGCAAAAACAAGACCACTAGATTGATGGCCTAAGGAGTGCATCAATATGAGGTTTAGCCCGAGAGTTAGAGCCATATTCCCATGTTCTAACAGTCAGCTCGAGAGAGAGATTGGGATAAGGCGTAGGCTGGTCTTCATGCGGCAAATGGTTGTCCGAGGGGAACCCCTTTGAAATGGCGTAAGTTGCTCGAGAGAGAACTTATTTCCAACTAAGTCTTAGCCTAGTTACTTTTTATCTGCAAATTTTCTATCGAAAGCTTGCACCCAATAATAAATATTAACTTGTATCGCGATCATATCCCAAGAATTCCCCCTCATATTTTATTTTCCTTTAATTTTTCCATTTTTGCAACTTTTGATAAACCTCTCATTTGATATTTGAATCTTTGGTGTCACCCTCTTTTTAATTTATTATGTTTTTACTCGTAAATCTCTTTACCTATGACTAATTATAATAGAATTCTAATTAGCTACATATTCTCGAAATCGCTCCCTTGGGACACGAACCCAACCTCGGTTGAGTTACTATATTATCGACAATTATAGACACTTGAAGCGTAGTTAGTGTCGTTGGTCGCGATAAGTATTAGAATCCTAGGGGTAGAATTCATAGAAAAATACAACCGGCGTAAATTTTTGTAGGAGCCCCATTTACGAGTCATAGTTCATCCTACGGACCATAGATGACATTCATAGTGAGTAGGGCATTATGATCAACTGCATGTTTAGATATATGAACATCTATTATGAACCGAATGTAACCACGGTCCACCGGTTGTGTTTGTAGGTCTTAGATATGACTTTAAATTTTCTATGTTTCAAGACTCAATCCATGGAATAATTCTATGAACAGTGGCACTATACACGATCGTTCTTAGCTTTGTAGTTCGCAAATCCTAAAAAATATTACCCGATTCTACTCGTGACACAACTTATACATTAATTTTTCCCCTTAAATTTCCACTCCCATCACACTCCATTCTAAATTGTTTCCCTTTCTCTTTCGTACACCCCCTATTATATTTCACTCCTTTATAACAAACGCTTTGAAAAAATCAACTTCCATCTCAAAAAAACCCATCAAATATCTCCAAGAAGACACCACAGTCGCGACTCCGAATTCTAGTTTTGGGAGTTTCAATCATGTAGTTATCTTTCTTATTGTCATATGTAACAAATTAAAACATTAGGAAGCCCAATTTCAATCATGATTTTTTTCCAATTTCGACCTCTTTGTTAAAATTTCTTTGAGATATGTAGTATTTTTTAGCATAATAAGTTGTCTATGTTTAGGATAAATTTGAAATTTATATTTTACTATGTTGTTTTACTTTGTTGATATATTTTAGATTTTTAAGTTTTGAATTTTACAATTTTTTTTGTTGAAAGTTTGATATATAAATCCCTTAAATAAAATGTTTGGAATATTTTTAAAAAAAAATTGTTGCCCCATAGAAACAGGGATATAAAGATCCCCAATGATCTTACATGATTTGTGAGTTTTTCTATAAAACTATTATTTACCCTTTGAGGCTATTTTGAACTCATTTTAACCACCATACCTATTTCTGATCTTTTTAACTCCCTTTGGTCTAATCTCAACTCATTGTCAACCATGCCTATATCTAACATGCATATAATTCTAACAACTTTTTAACCATGACAAGCAATATTCTCTCTTTCAATGCCCCGTAAATTTCTATCTATGATGATTATTGAATTTGGTTCGTAAGAATGAATACATTTTTGGAAACGTATGTTTTATGAGATATTATGATGGACGAAATAATTGTACTACAACTTTATATTAGTCCTATAATTATCGAGATGAAGTTCAAATGAATTTTAAATTAGACAAATTATTGAGTCTATTTTTAAGCATAAAAAACAAATTCACAAAATTCCAATTTCAAAAATAATGAAAATAATTTATCACCAATCATTTACGAAAAAATTGAGGAAGAACATTATTTAAACTTCGGTAACTAAAGAAAAGGATGCGTACTGAAATTTAATTCAAGTGAAACTAGTAATTTCTAGCATAAGTTTCCTAGACTTGGGATGAGTTTTAAATTTAAAGTTTTATTAGGTTATTTTGTTTTTTATTTAGATATTTTAGGTGTTTGACTTTTACTTATGGAAATTTTTTGTTGTAACATTGCTATTTAAAGCCCCATATGCTTAATAAAAAGATTGAGAGATAGTTTCAACTTTTATTGTAGGCTTCATAATTTTAGAAAAATAACACTTTGTTTGTATGAGACACTGAGATCTCTTGGTTGTTTACACTTTCAATACTTTAACTTGTATGGTCTCTTGAATTACATTTGTTAAAGTGACACAATTTCTTTGAGTTTAATAAGATAGTAGAGCTATGGTGGAATTTTTAACAAGTACACTTTTGTAGTGGGGTAGGTGTATGCATACACCATAATAAAGAAAATGATATGAATATTTCAGTTTATAAATCAAAGAGGTTTTGTCGATTTATTGTTTGAAAAATAACTTGGTGGGAAAAAAGAGTTATATGAAAAAGGATAAATCAATTAAACTAACTGTTTTCTCTTTGTAAGATAATACAAAATAGTAATAGTGCAAAAATATTATTTGTAAGACTATTTTTTTAAGGAAGAAAACAAGAAACATAAAACAGTAATTTGAATTAATTGCTTATCAGTTATACTTGAATGCATCAAGTGTGTTTGTTTCATAGATCTCTTAGTAAATTAAGAAAAATAATGTTCTATAATGATTATATGTAAATTTCAATTTTTATTAGAGATATTGGTTTCTACTTTAGAAATGAAAAAAAAATGGCATGAATTCATATTAACCGTGCCTCTAGTATGTAATGATGAAAGCATGTAATCAAAAATAAATTTAAATTCTTAAAATATAAAAGATAAAAGATAAAAGCATCACATTTAAGAATATTTTATCACATTTTATATATTAAAATTATTGAGGAAATATATGAGCACTCTATATTATTTATGGGGTGTGATTTTCCCCTTTATTATTCACATATCACAAATAGTAAGATTTTCATTTAATTAAAATAAAGTATTGTATCTCAAGCGTCAGCATGTAAGCGTTCATTAGATTTAGAAAATTTTTAATTAGTTCCCCTCTCAGTATATATATAGCAACAACACGTTTTCATTGTTACATCTCAGATCCACTCTGTTCTTAAATTCCAATAAAAGATTCTACACTCTCATCACCGATCTTCTAGGGTTTCTCCATTTTGCACACCACGACACTTCTTTGTGAATTTATACATCATTTTCATTTCCCCTTTTGTTTTATTCCAGGACACCGTCACCTTTTCACCCAAAAAAAGCAACCAAATTACAACAATCAAAAAGATATAAATTTGGATGGAATTATTCTTCCTTTGAATTAGAGTGCATACAATATCTTCTGCAAACTCCAGGTTCCATCTTCCCAAATCATTTTCAAGATTTCTTTTAAGTTTCCTTTACTTTTATTGTTTTCAGATTGTTTTATTGTGATATATTTTGCAGGTCTTTTTTCTCAATATATCTTTAATATCTATTTTTTGATACGTTTGTGTTGGAATATAGACGAATTAATTGTACAAAGAAAAATTATACTCTATATTTTCCTTTCTAAATTACTGGCACTGCGTTAATTAAGAAAAAGTAAAGTAATACCTCAATATTTTACCATGGAAAACCCCATGTCATAGAGGGTACAAACCACAACTTACACGAATATAGGATTTAAATAAACTTCAATAAAATCTGAGACTACAAAAGGCTTTAGACAATAACGGTTGCAAATCATAGGAACTAAACTCTGATTCATTTGTATCAACAATCATCCTTGACTATTGAACCCATCTTCAAGTTTCCTCCAACTCAAAGAATAATATAAGATATCAAAGCAAAGTAACACAACTCAAAATTATCAATACAAATTAACTAGATTGAAGAACTAGAAAGCATAAGCCTATGGGACGTGTTCTTTAATCTTGTTTCTCTGTATCAATGCACTAGAATCTTCAACCTAAACTCTCTCTTATTTGTTTGTATTCTCCTTGTAGCGCTCATTATAAGTGAGTAAAGTTCTTGTGAAACCTTTAATAGATGCAAGACTTCTCCTTTTTTTAGTTTATAGTAGATGTCCTTCCTTATATAAATACCCTTTATTTGTACACTTCCAATATTAAAATAAACTTTATGTAAATAAGACTTTTGTCATAGTCTCTCTTTGTTCACCACCTTTAATCCTTTTTATTCACATGATACCTCTTCTTCTAATCCCGTTTGGGCTATGTCTGAGTGAAACACATTTCAGTAATGAGTACCCTGCATCTCCTCCCTTATTTATCAATTATCAAAATCTTAGTCGCTCTAACTTCAACCATGGCTTCTTATGTGTATAACTTCAACCTCAGACATGTCAATTTCTCGAAGCACACTAATAAAAGAAACATATTAGAGCATAAGAATAGTATAACAAGAATATAATATCACACAAGGATGAATTTCCCCCTCTTTGGCATCATAAAACACTATGACCATAGACAAAACACAGTGATGCAATTTAATTACTCATGGTCATTGGGATTTAACCTACACACATACTTTATGTAAGAATTCAGAAATTTATAACAAAGAATGTACACAATCAGAGGAGATGTACAATAACAAGAAACTAAAAACAAACAATAGCATTAATGAAAACATTTACACCACAAATGTAATAAAACGAAAAGGTAAAAGCAAGATCTTGTCGTTAAAAATGGAATAGGAAGGGTAAGAGTGATTAGCACAGAGAAGAACAAGAAGGATGGGATGATGATGTAGAAAGATAATTCTTAATAAGATCAAAAAGACCCTTGAGATTAGCAAAATTGGTCCACCTCTGAGTTTCATAGATATCCTCAACGTGGGGAAGCTCCCCCTTGATGCTAGCACGTCATCCACAAATTCAGTATTTTCAAGTCTATATGTGACACACAGATCATCCATGAATCCACATGATTGTCTTGAAGTGTTGTAATCCCCCATCTTTGCTAAAAGGTAATGCCCTCAACCTTTGAAGTAGTGCATTTACGCCACTCCCTCCTCCGAAGAGCATGTATAGTTGCCTGGTTCACTACCACTAAATCATCCCTGGTGGATTAATTTTCCAAATTTTTATAGAAACACAAAAGTGTTACAAAAGAAACTCCAAGCACAACCGATAACAAAGAACATACATTGTTTATCCTGCATAAAAATTCAATGCACGTGATACTAGATGAGTTAGGAAAAATTTTGGGGCATTTGAGAAATCAAAAACTCCATGAGGGTGAGATCCATTCACTTCATTACACTTGTGCTTTCATTGGAACATCATTTTATGCAAAACATCAAATAGTAGTTTCTACAAGGAAAGCATAACACCTTTCTCAGCTCTGGTATGAGCCTCTAACATGGGCATATTTGATAATCTTCTTGACATATACAAGGTTGAATTCAATTAACCAAGCGGAGGCCAATCTTGCTTCACATAGTGACACTACCCAATGCTTGGAATACCCAAGATGTCAGCATGTCATAAGGATTAAAAGTAAAGTAAACATCTCTCACGACACATTAATATAGAATTGGCAAGTGTTTTCTCTTCCCATTTTGTGTTTTTTATTACATTTAAAGAAAACTTTTGACCAAACCTGTGTCCTCAAACTAATTATAAGTTCACATGTATCAAGCCCCTAAAATCACTAATAACTACAATATCAAAGCAGCATTTGTTGCCCGGAGTTGAATTGTGCTTTGTAATAGTTACTCTTTAAAAAAGGTCAACAGATTATAAGTGGATTTTTAAAACAAGGATGTAGTACATTTTAAGATAAGGTCGTGTTTTTCCTAGAAGATGCTTCGAGAAGGGAAGCACAAGAACAAATGGAACTTGCAAATGAGCATCTCATAAAGCTCCTTCTTTCTTATGCCTCCCTTCGCGAAGCATCTTCATGGAAAAACGATGCCTTATCTTAAAATGTGTAACTTCCTTGTGGTCAAGAATCCAATGATATTATTTAGACATTTTTGAATGCTTACCTATAAGAAAGCACAACACAAATCTTCTTTGCCTCAAATTGTCCCAAAACATTTCCTGCAAACCCTCATACAACCTTGAAATGCTTTCTAACTCCTTTAAAATTAAAAGATACTACGACCAACAACACACAATAGGCTCACCTCTTTCTTTGTTAACCAAACCCAACGGTATTTCCAGTTCCTTTTGACACAGCTCCAATTTTACTAGCAAGACACAAAAAACATGATGCACGCCTTTAATCTCAAATCTTTCAACTTCATCTTTCATCAAGAAAAGGAAACTGTACAGACTTCCCAATGCTTCTCTATGTCTTATTGCACACTTTACATGCTGCATGAACATAACAAACTCATGAACACCACTCTCTAATAATTTTATGTACTTAGTTGATTGCAAACTCTATTCCAAATCATGAGATAACTTCGTTTCCAACTCATGAAAAAAAGGAAAAGAAACCTTCAGTTTAACACAAACTTCACATCATGGATACACCCCTTCATCATCAAAGCTAAACTACTATGCCAAAATATATACAAAGCATCAGCAACACCCTCTACCCCTCATACAATCTAAAAAAATAGGAATATAAGAGCAAACTGCCTATATACGGAGTTTGAATTTCTTCTTATATCCTTCAGATTTAAAAAAAGTTTAATGCATATATATCTCCTTGTTACCAAAACCAATAGAGTACATAAAGTTACATCTGCCTTTTGTCTTTCAAGTTTTTTTAGACATAATGCACACCTTCAATCTTTTCTTTGTAATAGTGAATCTCAAATCTTTCCTTTAATATTCCACCATTACCTTACTTCAAAGGGAAAATAAGTAGACAAAAAAACTCTTCTAAATAGCACATTGCACACTTCAAGAGATGCATAAACTATGAAGAACAACAAAGTTGATTTTTGGAATATCATTGCTTTTTCAAGTATAATTTCTAGAATAATCTGTTGTTGTATCCAAACATAACTATATTATCGAAGTTGTTATATATTTTAGAGACGTTGCCTTAAAGAAATAACTAGATTTTTTAGAGAGGTAGATATTGTAGTAAAAGATGGAATAATCTATATGTTGTAATATCTACAACCATTCAGACTAGTAAACATAGAGGTGAACTTAGACATCAGTATGCAACCTAAGAGAAACCCAAAAACAACCTAAATCAAAAGTGTATTATCCTACAATAAAGTTCTCTTATCCGAAATCTTTCTTCTCCTCTTTAGCTTACTCTTCTTTAATTGAGTTTTCCAATCATATATAACGATCTTCGACTGAATAATGATTCATAGGAACGGATTGCGCGAGCTTCCCAGTATCCGATCAACTCATACCTCCCAGCCCTGTAACTTAAACTTAGACTTTGGGTTGGTCTTGCCTCATTCTTGATGCTACATTCTCTTCCTAAATCAACCTTGCTGATTATAGTTTTCTTCTGCTATTCTCTACATAAAGTTTATATAATCATGGATACCTAATAACCTCATAAACAGAGTTGATTGCACACTATATTCTAAAACATGCAATTATCGTGTTCTCAAATGGAAAACAAATGAAAAGCATCTTTCAATCCTAAATATTCTTAACATCATACAACCTCTAGCAAAAGCTTATAAATTCTAATAAATAGGAGCACACTATGTATATACGGTTACATGGTTGGTGAAAAATGTCTTACATGAATCTACAAATTTACAAATACATCCATGAGCAGCTTGTTTGCTAAATATTGAAGGAGGCGCAGTAACAAAGGAGTGATTGTATATTAGGAAATATTCCTCTGATATACTAGTTTCATGTTTTAGGGTCATTGTGAGAAACATGATAAACATCTTCATCATATGAGAGACATTAGTATTAGAATTAGTCGCTTGGTAATCACCTTTTATAATTAATGAAAGAGCAAGGCCTTCATCAATAAATTATTTCTCCTTTTTTATTGTGGGTTCATGGAACTTAGAGGTCTTGCATATTTTCAATCCTTTTCTAGAAGGTTTGGGGAAGTTAAAATTGATATTCTTTTTGAAATTAGTTATGATAACAACATTGTGTGGTGTTTTTCACCTGATGTTTTATGTTATTGTTGTCTTTCGTTGTGTTAAAATTTCTGAGGTGGACAATGTTACCTCTTTCTATACGAATAAAATTGGTTTGTCCCTCTCTACAATGTCAACTTTAAGGTTTACTCAAGTACTTGATAAACATGATTATAAAGTTATATACGAAGTGGAAATGAGGATTTAAGTGAAGACGAGTTAACGTGTGTCTAATAATTTTAGTTAGTTTTTTAGTTTTAGATGTAACTCTGGGATCCAATAAATCATATTTTATTTTGGAAATACGAAATAAGTTAGAGACTACTTTCAAACTTGTTCATCTTATAATGGGGAATCCTCCAATGCAGCCATAGGTAGACTGCAATAGTCAATCAATTTAAACAAGCATTGAAGATATAGTATTCTATGTTGGTCTTTGAGTTCCAATGATTCCACAAGGTTGTAAGAAAGGTTAGTCATTCTCTAAATGGATGCATTTAAGTTTATTGTTTCACCTTAATCCCAGAATATATTATTTTTAGTTTTTACATTATGTGGACATATATTAAAGGGATGTGCATTTATCACCGCAATCAATCTGTTCTAATTTATGAGAGTATATGTACTAGTGAATGTTATAATTTACTTAGGTGTTTGTTTTAATTTCTAAATATCTTTTGGGTATTTTCCGACTTTATCTATAAACTAATCATTAATTTGAATTCCCCAACTTGCGAGAGGTTATTTCCTTTTTAGCACAACAGTTTACATATAATATTTATGGTGCTGGGCTATCTACAAAGAGGCTTATATCAGACCAAGGACATTTTCTAGGGTGTTGCCGGTTTTCTTCTTCTTCTTGTATACCTTTTATATCATTGAGCACCACGTACATAAAATCAGCAAAGTTACAGAAGCTAAGGAGGCATGGAACTAACCTCTGATAAAGAAGAACAAGCATAAACTAAACAATCTACGAAAATGCTAAAAGAGCTGCTTACATAGTCTAGTGGGTTGGGTCTTGACAATGCTCCTATATTATCAGAGTTTTTTAATTTTGTCAGAGGAATTGTTTGTTTTCATGATGCTCTGTATATATTTTTTGTAGTAATTTAGCATTAATGATTAAGTGGTATGATGTTAGGAATGTGTTAAAAGTACATGATATTTTCCATTTTTCACGAGTTTGAAACAAGTTATATGAGTTTCTGATCAGGTTAGTTTATAGTGTTATGAGGTAGTGATGTGAATTAGTTTATCAATTTTATACATCCCGTGAAGTATACAATATGTCGTCAAGGAATTAGGCTGCAAGATTCGTTTTTCCTTTATTGAAGCAAGGTAAGATTAAAAGTAAGAAGGAAATGACTTGAGGTGTACAATTACAAAATATAGATTGAAGGTGTGGATCATATATTTTGTAACTTGAACAAATTAGAGTTATGTCTAATTAAACAGGAAAGTTAGCGATAAAAAATAAAGAGGTGAACCCATTGTACTTTATTGGTCTTAGTATCTCGGAATTATAATGGATTTAAGATGCATTACAAAACTATATAAGGGCTTGGAGGATTTTAGGAGAAGGAGAGGGAAGAAGAGTTGCATTCTGCTTTTTGATATTCAGACTGTCAAAAATGTCTAGAGATTATCCGTGGATTATTTTGCACATAGAGGTAACTCAGTTAATATAAGAAAACAATTTTCCTAAAAGATGCTTTGAGAAGGGAAAGTCAAGAATGAGGAGCTATAAATGATTTTCATTTGTATGTCCCATTTGTTGAAAGAATCATATGAGTTAGATGGACATATGGTTCCTAGATCCCTACAAGGAAATTTATTCTTGTAATAAAAGAATGAATGAAAACAAACAAGACCCCTAGCTTATTGATTCTCAAATTTCATAAATAACTGGCTTTTTAGCGATCGAGGACTCGCATGTCTAATGTACTCAATTAATTCTTTAAACAAAAGGAACCTGCAAATGAGCATCTCATAATACTCCTCGTTCTTGTGTGTCCCTTCTCAAAGCATCTTCAAGGAAAAACGCTTTGTTATCTTAATATATGTTACCTCCTTGTTCTCAAGAACACACTGACAATCTATAGACCTTTTTGAAAGTCTACCTATCAGAAAGCACAACACAACTCTTCTTTGCCTCAATTTCTACCAAAACATTTCCTCCAAATTAACCCTTATAGCAATAGGATCACCTCTTTCTTTGTTTACCAAATGCATTTGGCTCTCCATTTTTATAAGAAACAACTCCAATTTTTCTAGCAAGTCATAACAAACATGGTACACGCCTTCAATCTCAAAAAATTCATTTTTTGCTTCACCTTGCATAAAGGAAGGGAGATTGAGAGGACATCCAAATTCTTCTTGATGCTTAGCCTTTTCCTACTTCACCTTTTCTTGTTCATCCTTTAGGGTCATAGTGAAAACATGATAAGAAACTTCAACTTACGAGGGACATTAGTATTAGTATAAATTAGGTTCTTGTGAACTACTGTTTGCAGTTGATGAAGGAGAAATGCCATCTTCTGTAAATTTTTCATCCTTTTTTATTGTAGTTTCATGAAACTTAAAGGTCTTGCATCTTCTCAATCCTTTTGTAGAAGGTTTTTGAAAGGTTAGCGTGAAGTTCTTTGAAATTAGTTTTGAGATTAACTTTGTGTGTTGTTCCTCACCTGACTTGGTTTTATTTTAATGCTAGTCTTTTTATTGTGAAACTTTCTTAGGTACCACTTCCAAAGGAAAGATAATTGGTTTGGCCCTCTCTATATTATTTCTAACTTCGAGGTTGCCTCAAGTACTTGATAAACTTGATCATATTATTTATGTATTTGTTTTTAATCATTATTCTAATTAATCTAATATGTACATTTTTTATGCTTATGTAACCTCTGTACTTTTGCCAGTGTATGTGAAAGTGCAGAAGAATCTTTCTTTTCTTACTTAAATGGCTCTTGATATTTTGACAACTAATGAGACTCTCTTGCCTTATATAATGTGAAACTATAGCAATGACAATGTAACCTCTGTGGTTTTGGTAGTGTGTGTAAGAACTCGGGCACAATAAACTAGATTTCACTGCAGAGCTAATCTCTTCACGGGGAGTCCTTTTACATAGTAAAATAGTAACACATACATTTGAAATGTTGACATTCAATTTTGGTCTAACTTTTTTCAAAATTCATAAATTTTAAGTATTATTTATTAATAGTTCAGAAAAATTTTATATAATTTAAAATAAGTTTATCGATAACTATCTTTATTTATCAAAATTTATGATTTTATTGTAAATTGTGAGATAGAATTTTCATATGTCATTAGTTACGTTCATTACGTTTTTCAATATTCATTTTATTCGATACATCGGTTAATATTCGTTTTAATATTTTACAAAGTTTAAAAATTACTTCAAATAAGAATAAAACTTGCATACACAAATATTTAATCAACCAATAATTTTTGTGTCACCTTCTCAAGCCCATAACATAGGTCCATTTTAAACAATTTCATATATATAGATTAACTGGCTCACTAGTTTAAGATGGTGGTGGATGAAATTTTTAGGCGTGTAAATAACCAGCTGCTTCAACGTTAAATTCGGTGAGCTCAAAACGATAATACAAATCTATCTTCTCTTTGTTTATATTTCTTTTATTCTTTTTTTTTTGCTTACCGATCTACTTTGTTCATTCATGTATAATAATGGTGGTCTGTTACTGTTAGTATTTCATTTCTGTGGTGCTGCGTTACTATTAATATTTTAATTTTGATGATAGCGCGTCTTTGCTCGTTATGTTGAGGTTGAGTTTTTGTTAGTTTTCAAATTTTCAGATCAGCATCTTTAATTTAGTTTGGCTTTAATTCTTTTTATTAAAGTTATACTATTAATGTTTTTGACTATCAAATAAAATAAGGCAGTGTATAGTACAGTTTGGTGTTTGTTTTTTTTATTTTTAATTCTAGCTTTGTACAATTAGCTAGGTGAATTTAATCCTATTTTTGTTGAATGTATGGTGTACAATTTAAAAACGTTTCATTAATGAGTAATATGTTTTGGTTGCTACTATTTCTTTTATTATTATTTTAACTTATTGTTAAGTTATTATATGTTTTTGTTGATTCCTCATGCTAATAGTTATCAATTAATATTATTGGTATTGTTGTATTGTTGGTTGTTTTATTCTTTTCTATGAATATTCATTTTTTCCTTCATTATTGTTTATTATTGGTTTGTTTCAATTCCTATTATTCTAAGAATGTCCAGAAATTTTTTGTTGTTATTTAATTAAAAATTTTACTACCATTTTGTGTATGTTATCATTTTGGTTGTTGCATTTTATTTAAATTATTGCATTTTGATTTTCTATAATTTTAGATTGCATGTTAAATGGACCCTATTTTAAAAGATTGAAATTTAATTTATGTTTACAATTTTTTTTTAAAATTAATCGATTAAGAAATTACCAACAATTTTCAAGGCCTTTCATGTTAATAAATATGAATTTTTTATTTTAAAAGGTATTATTTGATTAATTTATTACAATCATATTCATTTAGTACTAACACTTTTACTTATTGTCTTTACAGGTATCCGGAATTCCTTCCTATTGAAGCTTTTCGAAAAAAGTTCAAATTATATTCTTCATTCATTATTTTGTATATGTTTACGTTATACAAACTTTAGGCCCTTTATTATATTATATCATTTTATTTCCTATGTATATTATATGTTTATTATACTTGTATATTAATTTTGTCTCCTCTCAATTTGAAAAAATTAAGCAAGTCGAGAACCACAATTATGGATTCCGAAGGGTGTGGAACTCATTCCCTTTTGAATAATTTGAACCCCTTACCTAGAATCAATTGGTTTCATAAACTTCCTTTTAAGTTAATTAAATAATCGATTTTCTAGTTTTCCTAAAAATAAGGTGGCGACTCCATTTTCCCTTTTACCTCTTTAACCATTTTAAAATTCTTTTAACTATTTTTTAATTGAGTCACCGGGAGTTGATCCCATTCAAAAGATATCAACATGGAACAGATTCTTAAAGCCTACAATTAAATTGTTCTAAATTTGAGCCTTGATTAGATCTAAGTGTATCAAAACTTAAGTTTCAATACAAATTCTCATCTTATAAACTAAAGGTTGATAAGATAAAAATGTATTAAGACTAGTTTTCAGTAAAAACTTGTCACTTGCTCTGACTTAAACATTTATGGAGTTTATATAGGGCCAAAAGATAGCAGTGGGTTTTGTCGCGAAACCTATCCTAGTTTCAATAGATATTTCATAGACAAATTAACGCGAAAATTGATCCTTTGATATATAAATGTTTAAAAATTATCATTATTATACAGTTTTATTTCACACCTTTGTATAAATTATCTCTAAATGATTTATACATTCATATGTTTTAAAGCTTTCGTGTAGTTGTTCAGTTTTTATCATGGTTTAGGATGTGAGTCATGCCCGGACTATAGGGTTGGGGTGTGATAGTAAATTTTTGAATATATATATATATATATATATATATATATATATATATATGCATGCCCCGAGGCTACCCCCAGTATGCGGGCAAGGAACGACTCCAAGCAAACGCTGCCAACATATCATAAGCATACTTAATCGTTTCCAACATAATATTCATAGTGTGCAAAAGCTAAACGATTACCCAAAATTGTCTTAGTTAAAAATCTGTGAGTTTACTGATAACTGAAATATCAAACTTATCGCAAATGCTGTTGAAATAGAGATCGCGAACCGATATTTTCCTTATCTTGTTGTTGAGGACCTAAACCTACATTATGAGAAGATGTAGCGCACAGTGTGCATCAATACTTGAAAGGTAATGAGCATACATGATAGAATAGAGTTGAACGATGTAAATAAGTGAACAAAGCATGATATTATACTTTAAATATTGAACATGAACTAACATATTGCAATGACTATGTTTGATAGCATGCTAAAACTGAATACTGAATTGTAATTGATAACCTAGTAAATACACTAGAATCTAACTATGGGATCTAGTAATAATTGACATAAAATCCATTAGTGATAAATATGGAGTTCGATGTATACAGTCGATCGAAAGGACCCAATATACCCTCTGGCGTGATCACAAAATTGTTGCCTACATAGAGGACTTATAAACCTATGGGACACGTAATGCTCGGACTATACGGGTGATTGACCCTAGTCAAACTCTGTATTAATTGTACTCCCAATTGATTATGTATATACGCAATATTATGACTAAATTCACTAAATACTCCATATCTCAAAACTATGACTTGCATACTGAAAATGCAAAATTAAAATACTGATAATGAAAAATTCAAAAACTAAGGCATGTATAAATCTTTCTCTGTCTTAGCTAATGTAAATCATGAACCAAAAGAACAATTTATGCAAGAACTAAGAAACATTTCTATGAAACCATGATAATCTAATTTGATTAGTCTAAAAACTGAATGGCAACACAAATTCTGAAATTCTAGAAACCTTAGGTCTCACATGTTGTAGAGAATCAAAAAATCTGACTTTTCCCTCTAATTTAGTCTATGGTTTGCTTAATTTTTGTGAATTATAGATTAGCTTAGGTTCTAATTTATTTAATAGGCTAAAACTTACAAATACCACGTAGTTGAGGATTTAAAAGAAATAGTTTAGGGGTCCAACACATATGGAAAACAACAAACGACCCCTCTTTTAAAGAGTTTACCAAAGCCACCAAAAGACTGATCGACGGTCCATCATGTCTACTGTAGTATTGGCTTCAAAGAATTAATTTCTTGGGCCTCCATCCATGTAAAAGGACTATGGACAATGGATGGACCACCGATCCACAGGTATGGTCCACATTGAAACTTTGGCAGTTTCCAAAGATGTTTCTAGAGAGGCTTCCACGGGCACTACTGCAGCTCGTTGTTAGGATTTTTGCTCGTGAAGGGTTCCGTGGTATGAAAGTCAGGTCCAGGTGGTCTCTTCCTGGAGTCCACAAGTATTAGTACGGTCTGTGAGGTGGTCCAAGACCTGTGAAGGGTCTTGTGGTCCACCTTTTATGGAAGGGGCTAAAAGCATGGGTAGGTCAGCGGACCCTAGACCCTATCGCATTCAACGAACCCTGCCCTGGTTTACTTGTTCAGGTTGTTTTCCTATTATTTTTTGAAAATCTGATTTCCTAGGTGCTATAATGTCTCCCCCTTTGAAACATTAATCCTCAAATAAAGTCTAAACTAGCTACATAGGGAGGGAGGGAGCGGCAAACCCTATCACTTTTTACTAGATACTGATTTCTGACTTAACTAAGTTCCAAGTACTTGCAAATACACTCAAATGGAAGTATAAACTAAAGGAACATTATTCTATGACTGATGTTACACCTAAATGAATGAAAGGATAAGAGGAACTCTTACCTTAAGCTGGAACGGATTCTAAAAAAGGAAATTACCACACTTGGCCTTCATGGCTGCTTCTGCTTTCCAAGTATCTCACTCTACGGATTGACTCTTCCACAAGACCTTAATTGATACCACTTCTTTGTTTCTCAACCATCAAACCTGAAGATCTAGAATCTCAACTAGAAAATCTTCATAAAGTGAGACTATCTTTCACTACAACATTTCTTGAAGGTACTATGGATGCTAGACCGTCCACACACTTCTTCAACAACGAAATGTTAAAGATCGGATGCATTGATCTGCTGGCGACCCTAACTCATTAGCCACATTGTAAATCATAAGCCACTTTGCATAATGTTTTCAAGATCTTGTAAGGGGCTACATATTTAGGACTTAGCTTCCCTTTCTTTCCAAATATCATCTACTCCTTCATAGGTGACACTTTAAGGAAACCCCAATCATCAACTTTGATATTTAGGTCCCTTCTCCTTACATCTGCATTGGATAGGTAGAGACTCTGTCTATCTTAAGTCTATCTTTGATGAGCTAAAATTTCTCCATAGCATCATGAACTGAATCTAGTCTTATCAAGACTTCTTCACCTTCGTCAAACAAATCAATATGATATTTGCACCTACACCCATATAATGCCTTATAAGGGACCATCTAAATGCTGGAATAGTAATTATCATTGTGGCGAACTCTATTAGAAGAAGGTGATCATTCATTTTACACTTGAAGTCAATATCACAAGATCTTAACATGTATTCTAAGGTATGAACGGTAAGCTCTGCCTGACCATCCTGTTGTGGATGAAATGTTGTGCTAAGTTAACCTTAGTACCAAGACCTTTTTGAGATGACTTCAAGAAATGAGAGGTAAACTATGGAAATCTATTTGAGATGACGGACAAACGAACCCGTTAAATATAACAATCTCATTAATTTAAAGTGTTGTGAGTCCTCCACCGAATATGTAGTATTAACAACCAAAAAGCGTAGAGATTGAGTAACTCTATTAACTGACACTCAAATTTAGTCATGTTATCTATGAGTACGAGGTAAATTTGTAATGAAGTCAATTTTGATCACTTCCCACTTCCAAGTATGAATGTTTATATCCTTGTCCATAAGCACTAGTTTTTATTATTCTACCTTCATTTGTTGGTAATTACGGCACTAAGCCTCAAAATCAGATATATCTTTTTTCTAACATTCGACCAAAAGACTTGTCGCTAATCACCATACATCTTAGTGCTGCCTCAATGAATAAAATACCTGGAGTTATGGGCTTCTGCAAGAATCTTCTATCTCAACTCACCGCCATAGGAATACATCATCGACCCTGATAGCGAACCACACCATCTACCCTTGGGAGAAAACCTCAAATCTCTACTATGAGTTGCACCCTTCAGTTGAACTAGTATAGGATCATGGTGTTGTTTTTCCTTAACCTCTACTACCAATAATGATTCAGACCCTTTCTTAATTGTTACACCACCATATGATATGCTCATATCGATAAGTCCCAAACGAGCAAGCTTGTGAACATATTTACTCTATTCATGAAAGTGAGCTACACTACCCATAGATAGTCTACAAGGGTCATTTGTTATATTTTCCTAATGACAAGGCAAGTTAGACTCATTAGGTCTATATTTAAATGGAAAAAACATTATCAAATGCTTATTTTACCTTAATAGCTGATTGAAACACTAAAGTTTTAGGTATTTAAATGTTTTAAGGAAAGCACGGACACTCTGCCGCAAAAAGGGACAACAAGGCTGAAAAGAACGAAGGAATGGAAGCTTGGGGATCACTTAGTCCACTTGCTGGATCGCCAAAGAGGACTACTTCTCCTTTTGTTCCAATGTGAGGATCCCTTAAGGAAATGGTCAAATCGATTGAAGAAAAGAGAATTTGACTCATCGCAGAGTAGCTCCGTGAAGTAGTACCATATCGCCCAATAAACCAAGCATGACGATGTTGAAGGTTGTACCGGAAGGAGGTGAAGTACACCAATGGGTGATTTGCCGAGTCAATCAAGGATTTTTACTAGCGAGGTCAAATGATCCACCGCAACAGATAATTGAAACACTATAAATACTAGTTAAAGTTGTAATTTTAAGAGTCTAACATTATTATTATTTTGTTACTAGAATATTAGTTTTTCACATTTTTACTCTAAGATTGTTAGGGTTTTAAAAACTTGAAGGAGAATAGAATTTTATCTTTTTCATTTGGTAGGGGATCTCTTTCATTGTTGTTTCTTTGCTAAATGAAGACTTATTTTCTCATACCCATTTCATTTAAACAAGATTGAAGTTATAATTTGTATTTCATTATGTTTTGCTAAAAACCCATTCTTGGGGTGTGACTTAGTCAATACGGGTTAAGATTGTTGTACGATGTTCCTTGCTGATAGATTAATTATAATTTAATGGTTTTTTTATTTAGCTGTTCTGGATTAATTTAACAAAATTGTTGTTGTGAATAAAAGTTTATTTTTGTAGTTTTGGCATGAGAGAAAGAGAAAAGTCGTTAAACCAAGACTACTAGATAAATGGCGTAAGGAGTGGGTCGACATGAGGTTAAGCTCGACAAAGTAAGCCCTAGTACCATATACTTACACTCAACTTGAGAGAGTGAGTGGGGTAAGTTGTAGGTTGGTCTTCATGCAAGAAGTGGGTGTCTGAGAAGAACCCATTTGAAACAGGATAAGTTGCTCGACTGAGAACTTATTTCCACGTAAAACATAGGCTAGTCACTATTACTCTATAAATCTTCTGTTGAGAGCATGTACCCAATCATTTAAATTAATCCATATTTCGGTGAAATCTGAAGAATATACATTCTCATTGCTTAAATTTCCTTGTTCGTTTCGTAATATTTTTACTACTTGTAAATAAATCCCCCCTATGATATTTGACACTTTTGAGTTACTATAATATTGCACGATTGTTGAAATTTGTACTGGAAATTGTGTCATTGATTACGCAAACATACCCTTACCAGGATCGTAATGCACACTCATATCATAATCCTTGAGGAACTCAAATCATCGCATATGGCGAAGATTAAATTATTTCTGTGTGAACGCATACAGAAGGCTCTTATGGTTTCTGAACATATCTATGTGTACACCATACAAGTAATGTCTCCAAATATTAGGGCAAATACCACTGTTTCAAGCTCGAGGACATGAGTTGAATAATTTTTCTCATGCACCTTAAGTTTAATAGAAGCATAAGTTACAGCTTTATCTTGGTGCATCAATACAAAACCTAAGACGATTTTGGATGCATAACAATAGATCACATAGTCGTTTGAATCCTCCGGTAATGTAAAAACAGGAGTTGTAGTCGATCTAGTGCATAATACTATGAATCTTTTCTTGTAATAATATGATCACTAAAACACAACTATATTCGGAGTTAACTTAGTCAATGGAGAAGCTATGGACGAATATCTTTCCACGAACCTCCAGTAATACCTGCTAGACCCAAGAAACATAGAATATCTATAGGAAATATTAGGTCTGTGCCATTGTTTCAATAGTTCTATTTTCTCATAATCGACTATAACCCCTTCTTTAAATACTATACGCCAAAGAAAAATAAAAAACTTAAACCAAACCTCACATTTGTTAAACTTAGCATATAACTAGCAATCTTTGAGAGTTTTCAGGACAACTCTCAAATAAGTCGCATGTTCTTCCTCATTCATAGAGTAATGAGGATATCATTAATAAAGATGACAAAAAACAAGTCCAAATACTAGTTGAACACCTTGTTCATCGAATTCATAAAAGGTGCAGGTGAATTGGTTAGTCCAAATGACATAAATACAAATTCATAATGACCATACCTAGATTTATAGGTTATTTTCGGAATGTCACTATTTCTGACTCTGAGCTTATGATATCTAAATATGTGGTCTCTCTTTGATTAATTACTAACACTGTAAAGTTGGTCAAACAAGTAATCAATCTTGGGAATAGGATATGTTTTCTTGATTGTGACTTTGTTCAAGTGTCCATATTCAATGAACATACTGAGAGAACCATCTTCCATACTTTCATGAATAACAGTATCGGTCTAATAAATCCCTAACTAGAAGGTTTTTACACAACTCTTTCAATTCGTTATGCTCAGTTGGAGATATTCTATAAGGAGGAATGTAAACAAGTTGGTTATTTTGAAGTAGATCAATTCTTAAGTCGATTTTTCTTGGGAGAGGAACTCCAACAACATCTTCTGGAAACACTTGTAAAAATTTATTAACTATTGGTACTGACTCAAGAGTTAGGGTTTTAGAACATGAATCCTTAACCCAAACAAGATTACAGAGACACCCTTAGAAATCATATTTCCTGCTTTAAGGTACAAAATGAATTGACCCGTGGACATTAATCTACTACCCTTCTAATTTAAGATTGGATCGTCTCAAAACTGAAAAAAGAAAAGAATCCTAGTACTGCAATCGACTGAGGCATAGTAGGAATATAATAAATCAATCCCTAGAATGATATCGACCATTTCCAAATCCACAAGATCTGCTTTGTTGACTTTTTAACAGATTGTGACATGGCAATTTCTCTATGCCCTCTAGCTGTAATAGGGACACCTGATGGGGTGGAGATTGATAAGGAATACTAGAGATTTTCTTGACTAACATTGAAGATGACTTCAATATAAGAAGTTACAACAGAAAGAGTATTTCCTGGATCTAACAAAGCATTAACAGCAAAGTTAAATGCTCATAACGTACTAGTGATCAAATCAGAAGAATCTTCCTTATCCTAGCATGCTTGGAGAGAATACAACCTATTTTTGTGGTGAACGTCACCTGTACGAGATGAGTTTCCTACTAAACCGATCGATGTGATGGTGGTGCTAAAGTTTTAGTATGAGACCTACCATTATTGCTTCATTGACCCTATTTAGAAGAAAGAAAGTCAAACACCCTTTGACCATGTCTAACTACACCCAAAACATCCTTTTTTTTCCTGAAAGACACTCGCCATGATAGTTCTTACCGCACTTATGACATGTTCATTAGGTTCTGTTGACTGAAATACTCTCATAAGACTTGAAGCTTGATGACATATCTTTTTTATCATGTCAAAACGTGGATGATAGAATACTAGATAATTAAGGTGCAGGGGTTGAAGACTTCTGTTGAAAATACTCATAGCTTCATGTCCTAGACCTTTTTAACCATAGCTTGTTCCCTAAGCTTATCCCTATTAACCTGCGGAACTCATTAGCCTAGAGATGTTCACATTTTCCAGCAACATAGCATTCGTACACTATGTTTTTCACTAAATAGGATACCCCATATAGAAACTTGTACATTTAAACCCAGGAATATGCAAAAATGTGAAGAGTATGGATTGAGAATCAGATGAACTTGATTGCTTACTCTTGAACCGACATGCTGTCTTGCATCGAATTCGTGAACTCCTAAGTTGTTGCCTCCCTCAACTCAACTAGGAAGAAATTGTTTAGAAAATGTCTTAATTAAGCAATCACAAGTATAGGAGCTACATTTGTACCCCTATTTTCTTTCCATTGAGTAAACTCAATGTAATCTATATCCTTAAGCTGGTAAAAAACTCCACCTTATCATTTCTAATCTCTTGAATCAGTCTAAATCTTCTTGACCTCATCTATGAAGTTTTGGGGATCCTCCCCAATCTGTGACCCTAAAAAAAAGAAGGATAAATCCCTACAAAATTACGAACCCTCGATTCCACTTATCTAACACTAAATTTGCAGTTACAAGAATATGTTGGTTGTTATTGTTAGTCACACTCTAAGCCAAAGGCTGAATGATTTTTTGAAACTCAACATCCGTAAGACTGGATGATTTGTGTTAATGTTGTGTGCATTCACATTCCTCCCGTAATCTCTATGAGGAGGCATGTTTAGAAAGTTCACAATGATGGATTAGAAAGAGATCATACCATACACATGATAAGAATATAAAGAAAGCAAATTTTCCTAAAACACTTCGTGGCCTCCCTCTCTTCACATGTACATCACTTCACACCCATGAGAAGGACTCTACTTAATGCGACTTTTAAGCCATTATAGGTCTAATAAACCTAGTGCTTTAAAACAATGTTTGCCTGTCGTTGAGGCTACCCAAGGGATACAGGCACAGGACCTAGGATCACGAGTGAACCCAAGTTAACCCTACTGGCATATCAAAAGATTACTCAATGATTTTCAACATAATAGTCACATTGTGCGGAAGCTAGAAATGTATCATCCAATGAAATTTTGGGGAATACCCAAAATTATATAAATAAATAATATGTGAGTTTAATAACAATTAAAATATAGAACTCCAAAGTGAAAACTGAAACTAGGTGTGTATGAAATAAACCCTCTCGCCGACTAGAAATGTTGGAACATACCCGAACTAGATCGAGCAAAAATTGAAATTAAATACTAAATGTATAAAATATAATCATGTGAATCATCCTCGAAGAATGATAACTCACCACTGATGCTGCTGAAATAAATATTGGGAGCCTATCTATGCGTGATGTTGATGTTATGGACCTAAGCCTACATCATGAAAAGATGTATCGCAAATTATGCATAATTAGTTAGGGAGAATCCAAGATACAATAAAGCTACACAATCTACATAACTGAACAAAAAATATAACTTAGAAGTGACATAAGATGATCATGATACAATATATGAAATACTGAATATGAACAACTGAATGTAATGGCCAAGTTTATATCATGCCGAAACTGAATATAGAACTGTAATTGATAACATGGACATTACACTAGAATCTCATTGTGGGAGCTAGTAATAACCAACATAAAAACCACATGAGCTTAATGTGGATTCCAATGTATACTCCCCATTTAAAAGACCCAATATAACACAACAAAGGTGTAGAGGCATGACTAGCATATTCACAAAATTGAGGCTTACATAGGGGACTTATAAATATATGGGGGAACTCGGTCCTAGGGCTATAACGGTGACTTGGACAATTCCAACTCGATATTAAGACTACTACCTAGTTATTATGTATGTAATAAATATTATTATTAAATTTCTAAAATAAATGATAGGTTAAAATACTTGAATGCTTAGTGAAAATGGAACATTAATGTATTTCAAATTCTCAGGCACGTATATAAATTTATTTGTCCTTGATAATGTAATTAATTAACTTAGAGAATAACATAACTAGGGTTCTGAGTTTATGTGATAAATAAGCAACAATCTCATGAAAAAATGATAATTTTATTTGGATTAGTCTAACAAGTGAATCACAATATCAATTCAGAAATTCTAGAAAACCTAGGTCTAACATGTTATAAAGAATGAAAAATCTGAATCAATAATAGGAACCTAATGGGTAAAACAAACTTAGTAATGAAAATCCACATACAAGTGACATATTCCAAGAAGAAATCATACAATTTTTGGGTAGAAATCGATGACAACTTTTTGCATTCTTGACCTCCGACTGCTTGACTTTTTCCTCTAATTTGCTCTATGTGTCCCTTGATTTCTTTGAATGATGGATTAGGTTAGGATCTTATTTGTTTACTAGGCTAAAACTGATAAAATTAATCCAAGTAGTTTAGGATTTAAAAGACAGTTTAGGGGTACAACGCATAAGTAAAATACTAAACGAACCTTGACTTAAAAGTCTGCAGAAGCTACCAATCGACTGAATACTGGTCCATCGTGTAAATCATCATCTTGTATCAATAGAATTTATTTCTAGGGTCTCAATCTATGGATCAGGGCCAAAACCCGTGGCTTGACCTACGGTCCATGGGTCTGGTCATGGGTTGATACTTACACAATTTCCAAGGTTGTTTTTGGCAGGGTTTCCATGGGCTACCCAATGGTGAACATGGACTGTGACGGGTCCCATGGTATGAAGTTTGGTCAAAATGGTCTCTTCCTTGTGACCTCGAGTGAGAGTACGGTCCATAAGGTTGTCCATGGCCTGTTAAGGGTATCGTGGTCCACCTCTGCTGGGAAAGGGCTAAGTCCACAAATAGGCAAAGGATCGTGAACCCTATCACCCTCTGTGATCCCTTACATGGATCACTAGTTCAGTTGGTTTTCCTATTGTATTTTCTATGTTTTGTTTCTGAGGTGTTAAAATATTACCTCCCCCGCCGCCCTTTGGGATAATTCTTCCCCGAATGGAGAAATTAGGAGAAACCCTCAACAAATCTCCTATAATAACGGGATACACCCAAAATATTTTAAAATCCACGGCACTTAGGGGTCTAGGCCAATTCTTAAATGCCTCCGTTTTCATTGGATAGACCTTTATACCCATATAGTTGAAACAATATGACCAAGAAAAGCAACGAATCTTAGCCAAACCTTACAGTTGCTAAACTTAGCAAAAAGTTTGTCATCCTTGAGGAGTTGCAACACTATCCTCAAATGACTCATATGATCTTCCGTACTCTTGGAGTATACCAAATTATCATCGATAACGACAATCCCAAAAGATTCAAGAATAGTTCCTGAACAGCCGATTCATAAGGTCTATAAAGGTGTCGTGGTATTAGTTAGACCAAAAGACATGACTATAAATTCAGTGTTACCGTATCTTGTTCGTAAAGCTTTTTTTATGAATGTTAACTCCTCTCACTCTATGTTGGTCATAACCCAACCTTAAATCAATCTTCGAAAAGTAACTCGCCCCTTGGAGTTGGCCAAACAAATCATTAATTCTACGGAGAGGATACTTATAATTTACAATGACCTTGTTCAATTGGAGAGAGTCAATACACATCATAATAAACTATATTTCTTTTCCACAACTAATAACGGGGCATCCCATTGAGATATGTTTGGTCAAATATAACCCTTGTATAGAAAATAATTGAGTTTATCTTTCAATTCTTCCAACTCGTCCTGATCCTTAGAGTTAAGAGTAATCGATATGGTTTGAGTATCCGGCAATAAATCTATTCCGGAATCTATTTCCTATTCACGAGGAATTTCAAGCAAGTCATTGGAGAAGACTTTCAGAAAATCTTTCACTAGGGGGACCGACTTAAAAGAAGGAGACTCGGACCCAAGATCCTTGAACCTCACAATATGATAAATACATCCCTTAGAAATCATATTGCAAGTTTCTATACACAAAATAATTTGAACTCTTGGGATTGAACTTCACCCCTTCTACTCTAAGATTGGTTCGTTAGGAAATTGAAACATGACTACCCTTGTTCTACAATCAATAGAAGTAAAACAAGTATTTAATCGATACATCCCTAATATAACATCAAAGTCCAACATATCAAATTCTATCAAATCAAACTATGTGACTCTACTGGACAATGACATGGGACAACTCGTATACACTCTATTAGAAACAATGGATTCACCCACTGTATAGAAACTGAAAAGGTTTCTTAGAAGACATCGTGGAGTATATTAAATTCCATAGCCACTAAAGGAGTTACAAAATAAAAGGTGGCATAAAGATTTAACGATGCATAAACATTAATTGAAACTACTTGCAACATAAAGGTAATAAAATTGGGAGAGATCTCTTGATCACCTTGGGATTGGAGAGCATAGAAGAGGTTCTTCTTAATAACATCAGAGTTAGGATCACTTTCTTGTACTTGATTAATTTTTCTCTGTTAAATCTTTGTTATGGGACAATCTTTAACCATGTGGCCGCTCATTTGACAACCAAATCAAATATCCTTTCCAACTATGAACTTGGTCACATGCCTCTTGCCACATTAGGCACAATTTGATTTATCAGCTTCAGAACCACGACTTTTTCCTCCCGTGTCATTGGGTTTGAGTACTCTATCTTTGTTGGTCCTTGCAACATTGGAAGGAACTTGGTTAGAAAACCTCTTCTCAAATCTTACCTTATCTTGGATCTCTAGCTTACCGTTGGAAGCACCTCTGTCATAGTGTCTTGCCCTCTTAACATCCTTATTTCTCTTCCTATACCTAGTTTCTTAAACTTGGTGAGCATCAAAGATAAATGCCTATATTATCATGAAGCATTTCCTCACGACCCTCTTCCACAAGATCATTGGACACACCCATCACAAAATGACTCATTTTATCTATATTATTAGACACCAAAGACAAAGCATACTAACACAACTTAATGAACTTCAAAGAGTATTCTTGGACTCTCATCCCTTCTATACGAAAGTTGATAAATTCTTCAACTTTTTCCTCTCTTTACTTCCTTGGGAAAATTTTATCAAAAAAAGCCTTCCTAAAATTTCCCAACTTATGGGACCCTCTCTTAAAAGCCCTATTTTCCTTCCATTGAGTTTTACCATATTTGAGCCACATCCTTGAGTTGATATGTGGATTGCTCGACCTTCTCATTCGAAGTTACCCCTATAATAAACAAGATGGTATATACCTTATCAAGAATGTATTGACGCTCCTCGTTTACCTTGGACCCATAGAACATTGGTGGATTCATTCTAGTGAAGTACCTCAAATGCGAAGCCATGGTACTAGAATTTTTATTCAGATGAGTCCCAATTTCCCGATTAGATTGGGCCATCATAACTTGATTTTGTATAGTTACGACTTGAGAATGAGTAGCCATTATTTTGGTCAAGTTTGGGAAGCTTGCCTTGTCTCTCCATCCGTCAAGATTGGAGGATTGAATGAATCTTGACCACCTACAGGAACTTGCTCATTAGAAGGAGCTTGAGTACCTTGGGGAGGAACTCTCACATTCGCAACCTCCTCTACAATCCTTCTTATGGCTGCCCTCCTATTAGTCATATCTTATATCCACGAGAAAAATATTAAAAGGCATGTATAAATAGATGCAAGACTCTAAGGCACAACTATAAGAATATCAAAAGAAGTGAATGTTCCCAAGCATCGTATAGCCTCTCATTCATAAGTGTGGATCGCTTCACACCTATGAACAAGACACTAATAGACATGGTTTATGAGATACCAATCCTAATTATCATTCAATAACCATAGGCTCTAACACCAAGCTTGTCACGACCTAAGATCACCCCTAGTCATAAAACGACATACTCAACCTTAAAGAGGTTTTATCTAAGCCCTTATTATATTATCATTTCATAAGACATTGAAACATACGAAAGTATTTAGAACTTTAACAATCAATGTCAAACTCTTTCATATATGAAAATAGGGTGTCTATACTTGTTTTATTAACAATATTGGTTCAAACACAAGAATATTAACATTAGGACCTTAGAACTTACCATTGGTCTTAGAGAATGCTATCAAAGCCTTTTTTTCTTCTTCAATAAGACCTACTAGCCCAAACCGACACTTGGTAGAAAAATAAGAGAAATATTGGTAATTACATTGAAGGTTTCAAACCCGCCTGAAAAAAAAGATTGTATTTTCATAGGTTTCAAAGGCTTGAAGAAGCGTAGCCTTATTCAAAAGAAATTGATAGGATTTTCTCTCTTCGATTATCTTCTATAATAAGATAAGAGGTAAGAAGCAAGAAAGACTATTTATGAATAGCCCTTTTCAGTTCTAATGTGTGGAATCGAAAATAATTCTATCTTTCTTACGGG